ATAATAATGGTGGCATTCTTTATAAAAATAACTCAAGTATCCAAATAAAGACTCAACTTATAAGATGCTTTAACTATCATATAAATAATTTGTTTTATTTACTTATATAATTTAATTACTTTATTTATAGAGAATATTTCAAAAACTTTCTTTTGTAGCAGATATTAGATTATTTATTAGATTAATATTAATGTTATTTCAAATACTTAAACACTAAGCTATTTAAAAATAATTTTTAATGTAAAGAATTGTTCATTATAGCGAAATCATTAACTTAAACAATTAATAAAATAGTCATATTTATGTACAGTATTAATAAGTTATAAGCTATTTGGCTCAGGTTAAACAGGCTCCTTTTATTATTGATTTAAAAAATATCTAGGAATTATTTATTTGTTTGTAAGGTATCAAAAGCATTAAAATGATCTAAAGAGATAAATCTTAAATTATAAATCATAATAATGATCGCATTCTTTATCGAAACAACTTAAGTGTCAAAAAATAGATTTGTCATAAAATATGATAATTATAACGATAGAAATTAAAAGTAAACTAATTACATTAAATTTATTTTAAAAATAAAAATAATATAAAAATTAACATTATATTTTCGAATAGAATAGTTTTCTAATGAATACAAAAATACTATAACTCCTTATTTTGTGATTTTTCCGATAATTCTAACTCTAAAACAGTTTTCACAAACTTCTTGATGTCATCGGAAACAAGTATCGGTTCCTCAAAGGCCGAGAAGTGTCCACCTCTTGGCATATCTGTGTACTGAACCAAATTGGGGAACTGGTAGTGGGCCAGGGATTTAGGCACGTGACTGATCTCATTAGGAAAGTCTGCAATAGCAACCGGTACACTTGCCGGCACCGGAATTCTGTCGTAGAAAATATAATTAACAAAAACAGTGGACAGTAATGGCAAACACATACTCCTCAAGAGGGCTGCCGTGCATTATTAGAAAGCTTTCCTTATAATACCGGAGCCCCGACACCACGTTATCTGAGAACCAATATATCATTACATTTGTGAGTAACTCATCGAAAGTGAACTTTTCTGTGAGTCCGCCGTCGGTTTTGTTCACATTTTTCATATTAGTTGCCGTCGAGAACTTCTCCAATATATATGCGGCTAACCCGACCGGACTGTCCATTAGTGCGGCGCCCACTGTATCCGGTTTAGTGGCCTGAATGTGGAAGTATCCCGACTCTCGTAATGCAGTGGAAAACTTTTCAGAAAGTGGATATATTTTCTTGTAATCCCTGTCAGTATTGTCTAATACTAATGAAGGGAAATACGAGCCCAACAACATCTTCAGTAAAGGTATGCCTTTCCATTGATTCACAGCCATTGTTACATGAATACCGCGGACTCTGGATTGACAAACATTTCTTATTAAGTGATTTGCTTTGTAAGTTCAGTAAAACAAATGTGTGGTTACTTGTCCGGGTACAACTGAGCCATGGTTTTGGTGTTAACACTCCCCCAATCCCCTCCGTGAACGAAGAATGTCTTGTGATTTAATTTAGCCATTAGTTTAACAAAAACTCTTGTCGTCGCGATCACATCGAAACCTAATGGAAGTAATTATAGTGAATGTCACATATAATGGTTGTGCAAAACAGTGAATCCAAGGGTCAGACCCTCTTGATG